GGGTCTGCCCACAGGGCACCACAGGGTCTGTAAGGAGAGCATCGAACTTGCTCTCCTCCAGGTACCTGAGAAGCTCTTTGTTGTGCAGCAAGTGGGAGCAGGTAGAGAGGGAAATGGCCGAGGAGCTTCTCAGCCTCTCGTATACTTTAAGAAACCTTTCCAGAAAAGATCCTTCTTCAAACACAGCCTGAGAAAAAGCTTGGATGCTCCCTTGTATCTCCTCCTGGGTGAAAGGTGTTGGATAGGTTTTCATAATGAAATTCTCTGATGGCTTTACATGGATGCTTATTTCAGGAGCGACGACGACGATCTCGTGTCCCCTCTGCCCGAGGGCATCCAGCACCTCCCGTGTGCTGAGCCAACGACTCCCGTCCACCGGCACCACCAGCAGCCTCCCCCCAGCAGCCCCGGGGAGCAGGGACAGGAGCAGAACCAGCGTGGGGGGAGCCCCGAGCCCCGGGCACATCCCTGCAGGGTCCTGCTGGGCGCTGCCTGGGAGAGAACAGCCCCAGCTCCTCGCCTCTGGGCAATCTGTGCTCTGCTCTCTCAGGGTGAGCTTTAGACTGGGGTTTTTTTTTTGGCTGTTTGGTAAATGTATAATCGTACGTATCACAAGGATGGATTAATAGGCGTTAAAGTTCAGCCCGTTTGGCAGAGAGGAATCAGAGCAGCACTTTGCCCGGGGAACACCCACCTCTTTTGTATTGGAGGAGTTCTGGGGTTTATGGAAATCAGGGACCCTTCAATGACAGCTCTGCTCAAAAGGGCAAATTAATGGCTTGTTTATTTACTAAGCAATAATCTTCAGCGTTAAAATATTCCTCCCCTCCTGTCTGTGCAAATCATTTTCTCCTTGCAAAAGATTAGAAAAATATGAATGCTTTGCATGGGCAAGAGTGTTTTCTCTTTTACATCTTGCCACTGTGATGCAAATGGACGCGTGGCTGTGGAAGTTCACGTCCCTGAGAGGCCCCTTCTGGAGGGATGGGGCAGGGGCTGGAAGGAGGAACAACAAGGGCAGGCTTTTTGCCAGCGTTAGTTAAAAGTGGGTTAGCAGCTCAGGAACAGGGTTCTAGACAGCCCGGGAAGAGTTCCCCCCAGGGCCAGGAGAGCAAACAGCAGCAATGCATAGGCAGGGTTTGCAGACAATCAGCACTAATTATGAGAATTATCGCACAGAAGTAATTTCGACAGGACAGCAGTTTAGTACGGGGGTTGAGAGTATACACCAGAATTTCTGAAGGATATTTACTGAACTACTGCAGCCCTAGGTGCACCCTTTGTGGGGGAACTCTTCTAAGGGGGTGTGGATGGCTCAGGGCTGGCTAGCAGCTACAAACCCGCCAGGAATTGTGTGAGGAATCCGTGTGGTGAAAGAATAAACCCAGATTGATAGAGTAAACAGGAGGTACCTGCCAGCTGAGCCCTTCTGACACCTTATTGCTCAACTAAGAAGGGAGGGTTCTACCAACAGAGAAGATTCCTTGCTTTTAAAAACCAGTTGTGGCAGTAAAACAAAGAGTTTGGGGTGATTCTACCCCTCTGGCAGACAGCAGAGCTGCACTGGAGGGTGTGTGCCTCCTCAGGGAGAGGGCGGTGACAAACTATTGCCACCTCGGCCAAGGAAAGCCGCCGTGGGAGCTGAAGAGCCCCCACCCTGCTGGGGCTATCACAGGCTACCTGCAACAGGGGGGGAGTGAAACCAACCCGCTTCTCACCTGCCTTCTGCCTTTACAACGCACCTCACGGCACGCAGACACCCCACAAACCTATGTAGGCAGCTGTACACCCACAGAGCACTCGCAGACAGCATCCTCCCCTCGCATAGATGTCTAGAGTTTTATATATATTCATATATTTATCACGGAAATCACTGACCTGAGATAACGGCTTTTTCCTTCCACAGTTTATACCTCCGATAAAAACCATGTTTGGCATCACCGGCATGGGATACTCAAAAACGAAATCCATTCTTTTAAGCCAAATGGATCCGTGGCTTAAGAGCTCCTCCATTGTTACTGCTCTGTGAAGAACCTCCGAGGCCAGAAGTTCGAACGGCGAGTAGGCGAAATTGCAAAGGAAGGATTCTGCTGACTTGAGGAGCAAGTTTTCCACACGCTGGATAAAGCTCATGCGGTCTGAGTTGTCTGTAAATGTTCTTGGGACGTAGGAAGGAGGGTCTGGACACTGGGTAGCCTGCAAATCAAAGCTGCAGGGGAGTCCCCGTAGGAAGAAAACCGACGGGAGGGAGAGATGCAGAGCCAGGATTTGTCCGCATGGCACAACGGGATCCGTGAGAACAGCCTCAAACTTATTCCCTTCGAGATATCGCATCAGATCCTTATTGAGCAGCAAGCTGCTGCAGGAGGAGACGTAGAGGTCGGAGATGACTTGAGCTTTCTCATACAGCGCAGTAATCCTGTGAAGAAAAGGTTTTCTCTCGAAAAAGTCGCTCGCAAACGAGCGCATCCTTGCCCCCAGCTCTGCCCTGGTCAGAGGCACGGGGTACGTTTTGAGGGTGTAAGGTCCAGCTGCCTCCACGTTCAAGTTCACTTCTGGTGCCACGACGACAACCTGGTGCTCTTTGTGGCCCAGGGCCAGCAGCAGCTCCCGCATGCTGAGCCAGTGACTGCCGTCCATGGGCACCACCAGCAGCCTCCCGCCGCCGGCCACGCAGAGCAGAGCCCCGAGCACCAAAACCTCCGCGGGGACCAAGGGGCTGCGTCTGCTCACCCCAGCCATGCTCCTAGAAACCCAAAATCTGCTCGTCTGACCCCACCCGACGGGCTTTAATAGCCTCACAGCCCCCTGCCAGATTCCCACATTCCCCCTTAACGACCCGGCTTTTCCAGCAAAACCAGTCCCCGGGAGCCACCCAAATGAGGGATCATTTAAGGGACCTGAATTAATCAGCTCGGGTTGGGCTGAACTGGGCTTGACCCCTGAGGCGTCCTTGGGAGGGCTCCTTTCTGCTTGATTCCTTGTGCCGATGGATGTCGGATTAGGAAGTAAAATTAGAATTTGCAGGCACCAAATCCCGAGGCTTTGGAGAGTGCTGCCCCTCGGGAGGAGCTGGGCTTGCTGGCAGCAGGTATTCAAACGCTTTCTTCCTTTCCTCCTTTTTCCTTCGTTTTGATGAGCGTTTGACGGCTGAAGTGCTTGTGGAGCTGATGTTGAAGATGATGGGATGCTGCCACCCCACAGCCCGGTGCCAGCGCTCAGGAGGAGGCTCAGCCCCGGGGCCAGGCACAGCCCCAGGCACAAAGCGGTGCCAGCGAGCATCGCTGCGGCAGAGGTGTCCAGCAGCAAGGGAAACCACCCAAATCCTGCTGCCGCGCCTGACAGTCCTTTGCTCCCATCCTGACCTAGGTCTCTGTGTCTCTCTCCATCTTTTTCTTCTCCCAGGAGCAATAGGGAGGAGAGGAGAAGCCCCTCGGTTCCCCTGACTGAACACTGGAGAGCCTGGACAGGAGCAGCCAGCAACAGCAACGCTTGTTTCTGGCCAGGGATTGATTTTGAATGGTAAGAGGTGGTGTTATTACTTCAGGGCAAAAACTAACACCAAGATACCGCCTGAGCAGTTAACAAGTACTTGTGATAAACTCCTCAGCCCTCAGGGTTTTGTGTTAGATGCAAGAGTGGGAGGCAGAGGCATAGCTGGAGCACAAGGAGCCATCAGGACTCAGTATCCAGGACTTCTGCAAGGAATCCTGCTGCTGGACTGGGATCTTCAGCCCCTGAGCGAGGTGAGAGTGAGCTTTGCCCTCAGAGGAAGGTCTGATTCTGAGCCGGAGCTGCCTCATGGCCTCAGCTGAAGGCAGGATGCTGCTTTCCCAGAGCATCTCCCTGCGTTTGTCCCTGAAGGAGCCATTGAGCAGCACTGATGGCCAGAACCGATAGGAAAAAAGCACCACCCTGATAAAAGTGGCCGTGGGGGTGGGGGTTGGTGGCGATTTGAAAGAGACTTTGGTGAAAAAGCAAGATCTGAATGCTCGCAGCTCCACAGAAATAAACTTTCCATGGGCAGCACCCGGGAGGGGCAAAGCAAAGCCTGAGGGCGGTTGAGTTTGGCTCTGGAGAAGATCTGCCGGGCTTGGAAAGGGCAAATCTGTTCTCTTGTGAAAACTTCACCCCCTGCTGTTCACAAAGGCCTGTGAATTTGGGGGAAGAGGGGTGACAAGCAGGAGGAATCCAGTCCCTAAGGCTCAGGGAAAGCTGGTAAGGGAAGAACGTTGAGGGGAAGAATAGAGGAGAGTCTATTTTTAAGTCACTTTCACAAAGGATAGAAGTTTTTCCTTTCTAGGAAACAATGTGATTTCTTGCTGAAACGGCTGGATGACACCAACTCATCCTCTGCTGAGACCTGTCTCCTCCTCCATCTCCTTTTCCACTTCATCTCTGGCTTCTCATGAGGCTGTTCTACTCCCAGCAGAAGGACACACATCACATGCAGCCAGGAGCACATCCCGAGCACCAGCCAGCTAACCCACATCATGTGCACACCTTTACGAGTACATTTTAGACCACGGATGCCCAAGCAACCACCCATCAGCCTTTCTCCATCCAAACTGGACCTCTCCTACAAAAGCAGCTGAGAATTCAGCTGTCTGGATGTTGTGGGGTTAGGCTAAAACCTCCACCACAAAATAGAAGCCCTTGACTCCAGTGCAATCCTGCTGTTGCAGAAAAGAGCACGTGGTGCTGTTGCAGGTAACCCAGTGAGTGGAAGAAGAAATATTCTACTGCCTCTTATGTGAGGCACAGAATTTTTGGAAGAGCCATTATACTTCACCTGCATGGCTTCCTGGGCAAGATGGTGTTTGGGAACCTGACTGGCTGGAGTGAACCACAGCACAGCACGTGATCCCCTCACTGACCCAAAGCCCTGTGCTGGGCAGACCCCCGGAGGGGAGGAGAAATCACATCTTGTTGTCCTGGTCTGTTCTTCATCTGGATGGGCTGTAGAGGAAGCACTAATCTGAATGATGTCTTTAGGTGAGTGATGTCCAGATCAAACACACCATTCACACTCTCCAGTGGGCAGATTCAGGCTGGATGTGAGGAAGAAGTTCTTCCCCAGGAGAG